ACTGTACAGTATAAGCAGTTGACGAGCCTCTTAGAATTATATTGCTCTCATCGTTATGTAAAGCTTGTTCTAGTTGCAAATAACATTGGTTTGCTGTATTGTCCACTTACACTACTTCAGCAATACCTGACCATGTTCGGGGCGACGGTGGCACTGCCTCTGATAGTTACTCCGCAGATGTGCATCTATGACAACACGCTCGCCCAGAGCAAGGTCATCTGCACGGTCCTGTTCGTGAGTGGCTTCGTCACCATTCTGCAAACGACGTTCGGCTCGCGGTGAGCATGTTCGCGTTTCCTGTCGTCTGCCTGCTCGCCAGGTTGCCACGGTACTTGAAAAAAAAATGCAGATCTTTCTTTTCAACAGTTATTCTATTGGTGATGCGTCCTCTGTGATATCTCGTTCTTACGATATATCTCACCTCTCATATCCTGTTAAATTCGATAATTATAAGCCCGCCAAAAGTGTAGCATGTAGATATGAAAGTGGCATAAGAAATGACATCACAAAATGTGGTTTTCTAGGTTGCCGATTGTTCAAGGCGCCAGTTATGGTTTCCTAGCACCTGTATTTGCCATCCTTTCTCTACCAAAATGGCAGTGTCCTGATGCTGAAGGTAGAGTATGTCAATACTAATAATACTAATATGCGTAATACATATTTAGTACATATAGTATCAATTTCATGCATGTGTATGTGCAGAGGGGCAGTAGTACCTGTGCATGAGAGCATGTGAGTTGAAGTTTCCATTGTTTATTTGCTTGCATGTCATATATCTGTGTGTATGTATATACGTATATGTATGTGGTCTGTGGAGGCATTTCCATGTGCAGAGGCTTATATATGCAGGCATTTAAATGGCAAAGTGTTTGTGAGCATGTATATATGTATGCATGTATGCTTGCTATTGCTTTGGCAATGTGCCGATCGCTCATTAATGCTTGCAGCTCTAACATTGATGACACAGGATGAGAAAGACAGTATCTGGTTATCTCGTATGAATGAGGTGAGGTATATATTATTCAGGCCAATAATTTCTAACAGCTTGATTGTTTGCAGCTACAGTTTCTCTAACTTTAAATCCCTGCACATCACATCCTGTGAATCAAATATCAATGTCATGAAATACTTACTTATATTTATGTAGGTGGCCAGTTTTATTAACTATATATATAGAAATATTAGGGACAGTTAATAAAAATGAAAATGTTAAGGCGGTAGAACGGTTATACCATGCTATGCAACAACATACAGACTGACACACTATAAATAAATAAATATATATATATATAGACATATAGTTTCTTTTTAATGCCAACTTGCTTAGAACCTAATTAAACTGCAGTTAAATGAGAATGATGTTGTCTATTATACTTGCACAGCCTACAGGATGTGTGCATTGTAAATGTTTATCATATGTTCACCTGCGATCAAACGTGAAAGGAAGTTATTGGTGTGTTTTGCAGATACAGGGCTGCCTGATTGTCGCATCATTCTTCCAAGTTCTGATAGGCATAAGTGGCCTTGTCGGATTCATATTGCGCTTTATCGGCCCTCTTGCCATTGTTCCAACCATCTCACTCATCGGTCTGTCACTGTTCAGAGTGTCCGCTGGCTTTGCTTCCAAGGAATGGTGGACAGCTATATTGTGAGTTTTAAGCGATCAAAAACTTTAGTATATGACAAGATATTTGAATAGGCCATCTGCACAAACTGTTTTGAAATGTACATTTACCATTTACGGTAAGCCGGACTTCTGAGATATTGTCATGCTATTCTAATCATTATTTTTATTGTTAGAACAACTTTTTTGTGGTTCATTTTCGGCAGATATCTGTGACACGCTGCTAAATGCACAGGGTGAAAAATATTAAGAACATAGAACACTTCCCAGCATGCTTGCATGTTACATCACGTTTTTGAAATTGCATGCTTATTTTCGCATTAAAATTCAACAACCATCTTGTGAACATGTCTCTTAAGTAGGGGTGTAACGATGCATCGAAATATCGATGCATCGCAATAGACAGCGTCACGATAGTCAACCGTCGACCATCGATGGTAAATATGACCATCGATAGTATTGCATGACTATTGCGGTAGTACTACCACGATAGTTTCGATAGTTTCGATAGTTGCGTATCTACCCTGTGTTGGTAATTTAGAGGGCTAAAAATTCAGAGGTAATCCGTAGGGTAAATTACCCTACGGGTTTGTTACGGATTTCAGGAGGAAACCTGAAGGAAATCCGTACGGATTACTTAAAAATAACTTGCCGTTACCGTTCTCCTTCCACCTCTGCAATTATCTTTGCCTTAAAATCATTAAATGTACACAGAGTCTGTGGTGGCAGAGCCATTATACAGCATTTCAATCAACTATCTGACAAATCTGTACAATAAAATGCTGAGCTCCCAATGCGAAAATAGTAATGTTTAACTTTAAGGTATTTTATTCAGGACAGTTTGTCCTGCATGCAATTTTTTCTTTCATAGTAAAATTTAGCCTACCCTGTACAGATTACTTAGATTTTGAGCGGATTTGCTCATTTGTGAAGGAACAAATCCGTACGGATTAGTCCTCAAACTGGGGAAATTCGAGCCCTGAATTTATGATCAGAAGTAAACAGCAAACACCCATAACGAGTGCTAAAATTCACACGCACACACTTCAAGCTGCTCCCAAATCGAGGAAATAGATCGCGAGATTTCCGGTTCTAAAACGAGGCTGACAGCATTTGTAACATGCTTAGGAAAGACCCATAGAGTACCGAAGTGTGACGATATGTCATGATAATAAAGAAAAAATGCATGCTAATAAAATAAATACACAAAACTTGTGTATTCCATGCGAAACAGAATATTTTTGTAATTAATATGTATTTACACAATACTATTGCAATAGTCCTACAACTATCGCAATACTATCGCAATACTATTGCAATAGTATTTTAACTATCGCAATACTATCGCAATAGTAAAATTGACCCCAATAGTCACCTCTTAAGTAATGACTCAGTTAGACCTGAATGTGAGGATTATTAGATTTATTGCTTACTAGTAGCATTTATCTCTCTTGCAGAACAATTGTGCTGATCACTGTCTTCTCCCAGTACCTGCGCTACGTTGACGTTCCATGCATTGGTTACACACGAGGAGTCGGATTCAAACGGCTGACCCTGCCTATCTTCAAGCTTTTTCCTGTAAGTTAGCACCTACACACAGAGCACGCACACTGTCATGCATGCTCGCTCGCACGCGCGCATGCACACATAGTACTGTTAAACTTAAATATGTGAAGTTTGAAATAAACATTTTCTCATGCATCCATGGACAATGTTAAAGTCTCAAAGCAACTCGATCTCCTAAAAGTACCAGCATAATTTTACACGAATAATCAATCCAGTGCCACCACTGACAGATGGGAATGGTGTTAATAATTGAGGTTAAAAATTTTCAATATTATAATTGTCTCGATTTTAAATTATCCAGTATGATTAAAATGTTGTCAAGCAGTTGAATTATAGTAATGTAAAAAGAAATATTTACTTAAGTTTATTACGAAAAAGTATTGTTGGTGTTAAGTATAAAAAATATCGAGCCTAACCTCTTTTGGAATCAGTGCACGTTTGACCATCTAGCTTAGAATAATGAAACCCTACTGCTGCATCTGTCTCCAGGTGATACTGTCTATCACGATTGTTTGGCTGTTGTGTGCTATCCTAACCGCTTCCGGCGCCCTGCCTGATAACCCGACAGCTCATGGCTACTGGTCAAGGACAGACACGAAGCTGGAAGTGCTGAATACTGCGCCGTGGTTCCGATTCCCATACCCATGTGAGTCGAATCGATGCGGAAATACGTTCCTACTGGCCATTATATTTGTGTTCTAGTTAATTCGTGCCACTATTGACACTCGGATGTCAGCACTATTTGAGTGCGGGGTGAAACGTTTTAATTATGAATTTTATTAAATGCTAAATATTCGCGCCGCGTTTGTGTTCCAGTTCAGTGGGGCCTTCCCACCGTTAGCACCGCTGGAGTGATAGGGTTGCTTGCCGGATTCATGTCGTCGATCGTGGAGTCCGTGGGGGATTACTATGCCTGCGCTCGCCTCGCCGGGGCCCCTCCACCGCCGAGCCACGCCATTAACAGGGGAATGTGTGAGTTAAACCATGCAATCGGTGTAAATGTTGTAAAGCGTGTACGTGTGTAATCAGTCTCGGTTATTTGTATGCCTCACCTAGCTGCAGTCTTATTTGTACTACAATACGTTTGTGCATTTGTACATATCCTAAATAGTCACCTCGATGCTGTTGGAAAATACATATACCCATCTCCCATATATCTGAAATTCTATATCACTCCAGATTCTCTGGAAAAATATACTGCTGTTAACAAGCAATAGTTGTTGGATTGTACAAACTACGAGTTGCGTGAATACGTCGTTAAGTGAGTATTGACTGCTGAATATCAGGTGACTTCACACACGTTCTATTCCTGACCAGTTATGGAAGGACTGGGATGCATGATCGACGGTGTGTGGGGTAGTGCCAGCGGAACCACATCGTACAGTGAAAACATCGGTGCGATTGGCATAACCAAGGTACTTTTAGCAGATAAATACGTCGCTGAGAAGTTGTGCGATGCTTTATTGTTGCAGTTAGATTTATATATATGTGTGTTTTCGTCACAGGTTGGAAGTCGTAGAGTCATTCAAGTGGCAGCAGTAGTGATGATGCTGTTTGGGACTATAGGAAAGTTTGGCGCCCTGTTTGTCACTATACCAGAACCCATAATAGGTACGATCACTGCTATAATTATTCTAAATACTTTGCTTGTTGTTATGATAATTTTGATTTGTTCTATACTGTCAAAAGATTACTCCCGTCTGTTGTTTATAGTGACCTTACTTATTTTAGCTGCATGGTCTGAAGGCTATTCCACTCTGTGTTTATATACTATTTTGTAAAAGTTGGTCTGTGTGGAGGCTACTCTTTCTAATGTGTTATAAATTGTTTTGTTGGTTTGAGTTTGGCTGTTTATTCTAATGTGCCACTCACCGTTTCGTTTGAGTTTAGCTGTTGATAGGCTACTTGCATGACACAATGCATTTACTGTTGCTAGGAGGCATGTTTTGCGTTGTGTTCGGCATGGTGACAGCCATAGGCCTGTCTAACCTTCAGTTTGTTGATCTCAACTCAACCCGCAACCTATTTATCCTCGGCTTCTCCATAATCTTCGGCTTGGTGTTGCCGACGTGGTTAGGGGAGCACAACGACGTTATTAAAACAGGTAGGGTGATACCAACTAACGGATGGGACTTTCCCCAGATTTTATTCGTACTGATTGTTATACATACTGTGTTCCTATGTGGCATCTAGTAACAAGTTCATCAGCATATATGTTTTCATACCAGGGCCTAATCCAGGGCATTTTTCATACTGAATAACATGCCACCCTGACCCCTAGCAAAATGCCCAAATTACAAAATTCATAAAACGCCCAAATTAGCAGAGCTCTGATGCAGATCTCCATATTTCTATCGTTATGTAGGTACTGTTTTATATTAAAATGCTCATATAAGATCTATAATCTATTATCTGAATAAAATGTGTCAACCAAACACCGAATTTAATGTGATAGATAAGTATATATATAATTTTTTAGGCGAGCGTATACATGCCCTAATTCCACATTTTTAGCTCAGCTGACGAGGTCAGATGCAGCTTGTAGAATCGCATGAATGTTTGTCCGTCCGTCCGGCCGTCCGTCCGTGTGTCAACAATTATGGCACAAATCTTAACCGCTCGACGTACGGTCTTGATATTTGGGACGTCGGAGGGGGGGGGGATAAGAACTGGGGATGTTGAATTTGGGGGTCAAGGGTCAAGGTGTGTCAATCGAGGGGGAATATTTCCCCCTTAACTTAAGGTATAGGTGTATAGTGTGATGGGCAGGAAACCCATCACCAGCGCGAAATTGGAGGTCACAGGTCAAATGGCAGGGGGGGAAAGGTCAGATATCAGACATTTTCTGAGGACATGGTCTAACGGACCGAGTGAAAAACTTTTTTGTTTCAGCGCTGACCTACCATTTTTATCACTTTATTGAAAGGACCATGAAATGTGCTTTCCGCTGACGTGCGAAGAGTAAGTGTCTGATAACCTTTTGACCCTCAAGAGGAGAGGTCAACACGGATTTGTTGACTGTTAACAAAGGACTGAACTGCTTTTGCTATTAGAGCCTCCTCCACCCACCCCACCCTCCTCACACCACCACCATTACGCTCGCACTCGCCGCATATTCATGATAACATGTTAATATACTTATAGTGAAGTCATTAAAGTTACACAGCTGTATCTTTATTACTGTACTATCGGTATAGCAAAGCCTATCATAGATTTTAGATCTGTATTAGTAGCATCCTAGATATATGCTCTGAGCGCGAACGCGGTGGCGGGAGGGCGCACTTGATTCGGTTGCCAGTGAGTTTATCAGAAGAATACCTGGCTACAGTACACGTCAGTTGAGCGCTGTCGCTCTGCGGCGCTTGTTACTTCTCACATCCACTTGGCTTTAGCAGAACTAAATTGCCTATGACAGGATGAAGGCATATGAAAGTACGTGAAATTCAAATTCACCAGCGTTTATTGGCCGTCACCTTTCTCGCGATACAGCTGACGCAGCGACGAGTAAGTGTACGTTGTATGGTTTCCTGATGCAGGTAACAAGGCATTAAATCAGATCATCACCGTGCTCTGCAGCACTAGCATGTTTGTCGGCGGGGTGACCGGTTTCGTCCTCGACAACACCGTTCCAGGTGAGTGCTTCGGCTTTGGCGACAAACCTGATGAGCCTGCCAATGTTCAAGCCCTGTAGAGAAGCACTGCGGATATTGGGTAGCTTCCCGCATGCACATCCTTTTCCTTTACTTCCTCCTTTGCTTCTCGAGTTAATATTACAGAAACTTAAGAATTCGTCTTCACGACATACTTGTAGGATTGGTATACTGCATTGTTGCATTCTTTCAGTCCAATCTAGGATAAATTTTAAGACTTATTTTATTTTAAGGATGTTTTGGGATAAATTTTAGGAAATTTTATTTTATTTCACTTTAAGGATAAATTGTAGGCAATTTTATTTTATTTCACTTTAAGGATAAATTTTAGGACAATTTTTTTTTGTAATATTTCTAAACAATTTTAACCCTGACCAATCTATGCGTAGTCAGTCAATCCGACCAGACATCGCCTACAGCTTTCTTTTCGCCGTATTGGCAGGTACGCTTGCCGAGCGGGGACTTCTGCAATGGAGAAAGCAATTGGTGGTAGAGGGCGACACCGAGGATCGCACGAACGGCTCGACCTACGACTTTCCCTTCGGTATGAATCTCGTGCGAAAGGTCTCCTGCTTCCGTTACGTGCCCATCTGTCCGACGTTCTCGGGCCGCTTGTACTCAAACCTGCTGCCGCAGATTCTTCGCAAGAGCAACTCTCAGGCGGGAAACGCTCGACAGCAGCCAACAGAGTGCTCGCCGCCACCGGCCGAGTCGTCGTGCGAAAATCGCGAGAGCTCCCACACGGGTTGACAGGCGCTTAAAGGCCGCTCACGTGAAGTCGACATTGTTATGATGCCAATGAAGTCATTAGGGTAGAGAAGGGGCAGATGTACTTTTCGTCCCTTTCGCATTTCGCTCGTGGTAAAATATGGCGCGAAGGCTTCGTGGCATATCCATTTTTAAATAGTAGATGGCAATTTTGTGTCCACACACACACCTTGTAGAAATGGAGATTTTAGCGTAATCACACTAATCCTTGCTGAGGCTAGCAGGTAAACTGTGCATGTCTATGCTTTCAACACCATGCATATGCTAACAAGTATATCACCTTATACGTGCGCATTCAAACGTGTTTGTGGTCACCTCTAAAGAACGAACACCTCTCTAGAAAGGACACTGTTTCCCTCCAGTAGCAGTTATGCAGTGAAATGGACACCTGTTTTTAATGAAATGTTTTAAGGTTTTCTTTGACTGTCCCTAATATACAGGTTTGGCCTCATATAATTTCAGATCATTTTAAAATTGTTGGTACAGTAGTTAAAATGCAAGGCTACATTATTATTTTTATATACTTAACAACTTATTGTTATATTTTTATTATGTACGGCGAACACGATGGTATAATCTAACAAAGCCTGTTAACTGGTTTCCAAGGGCTTACACATCCTAGTTCAGCCCTGTAACTATGCATAGCTTAGATGTTCGTATTATATTGGTACTGGTCCACACACGGCTGACATCCATGGGTCTTTCAGAAAACAACACTCCCAGTAAAAATTGGATGCTTTGATTTGTAAGACAATCTGGTTGTAAAAATCAATTGATGGTTTGATTGTTGTGATTTGATAGCATACTTCTATGACTGCATATATAGGATAGATGATTATTATACCTTGTTTTATTGTTAAATGTTTTTACTTGACATTTAAAAATTTATCATGTTAATTAATTTTTTATCGTGCAATTCAATAATATTTTATATGCTCAGGATGTCTTTGTTTTTATTAATTGAGCCTGGTCTTTATCTTGCATAATAATGACCAGGTAACCATCCACCCAGTGGGTGGTGCAATATATCCGCTTGGTTGTAAGTGTCCACAGGCCTTCATAGTTAAATTCTTTACACTTGAAGAAAACTTTGTCAAAATTTTAAACCTGAACTACCGCTAGAACACATTCGAGTTAATCATGTCTTCAATACCAAATTATTTAATAGCATATTTACAATATACAAAAATATAAGAATAAAGCGTAGTGATATAACACTACTATGTGAATATGAGTTTTTTCCTGAATTATGTCAACTTCGGTGTGTCTTCAAAGCTTTGGCATATATTGGTTCTGCCAAATAATGCTTCAGAACACCCACCATACCAACTATAAGAGAGATGGACAGGAAGCCAAGAATAGCCAGTCGCCAGTAGAAGAGTCCATCGTATATCTGCAAAAAACAGAAATTAACAAATTAACAATAAACAATTAAATTGATGGAATTTTTACCTATTCATTTTAATTGTGTATATACACATAATATTACAATGTACAAATAATATTCTTGGTATGATTTAATATAATCATAATGATTCACTTTCATGATCAGATGGGCACACTTATTACAAATGCTATTTGTAATTACAAATGGGTGGTTGTACGTGGTGCTGCATGCCAGGTTGTAAGTGCCAACACGGACAACCCACCCCTTATTTAACCCGAGCATGATAGACATTTACATACATCTGCTATTACTTACGCTGAGAGGGTCTATGTCCCTCAGGGTACTGCTGGAACGTACCCTGGTACCTATCTAATATGCCGGACCGTACGTCGCCTACTCCACTAACGAGTCTAGGGAGTCGCCTACGCCTACTCCCTAACCCTAACCATATCAGATAGTTACCAGGGTACGTTCCGGCAGTACCCTGGGGGACATAGAACTTATGAGCATTACTTACGGTCATATCCAACTCGGGAGGTGGTGCAAGTGGTTGCCTAGGTAGGAACACCAGGAACAGCGTGACAGCCAGAGCGATTGCAAACGTAATGAAGCCACTATTCCTGAAAGCAGAGCGAGACCACATTCATTTTAAATCAGTAAAGTTATTTTCGCACTTAATCGACGGACTATCTTAATAGGCATAGCAATTAGTCAATTTAGCACGGCACTCACCTTGCGCCGCCAGTAACCGCAGTGCAGAAGATACAGAGAAACAGGCACATAACCCAAAGCGCTCCGATAATAATGACACCGACTCCGACTCCCAAGATACGAATGCTCTCTTCGGCCATAATTGCAGCCGATATTCTCCGTCTTTAGTATCTAAATGGAGTACAGCAACATTTACTTGATTTGTAAACATGCACATTGAACCTCACGCGTACACTTTTAAAACATTTACACGCACTCCATCCATAGATACTAACCCAAGGGGTTAGTATCTATGCTCCATCTTTAAACTATGTCCGACACAAGTGACCCCTGGTGGTGAAAAGGCTAATTTAGGCATAGAAATATATATATACGCCTAGTGAGGACCCGAAACGGGCATTACACAGAATAATAATGTAGTACAAATATCTATCGCTACAAAGTTCATAGATCATCTTTTGTTCAAATTTTTTAGTCTTCGTTCACTTTTTCTTTCATACTGTTTGATTCTCTTTTAGGCATAGAAATATATATATACGCCTAGTGAGGACCCGAAACGGGCATTACACAGAATAATAATGTAGTACAAATATCTATCGCTATAAAGTTCATAGATCATCTTTTGTTCAAATTGTTTAGTCTTCGTTCTCTTTTTCTTTCATACTGTTTGATTCTCTTTTAGGCATAGAAATAGAACATAATTACATATAAGATGTCTATGACTATAATATCTTATTGTTGCATAAAGGAGGCAAGATTGTACAATGTAGGCCTAGTTGTATAATTTCAACAAAATTATATATTTTGTTTAGCATCATACACTGTCACTACTAGCACTTCTCGGACGCGACACAAATGCGAATGGCAACGAAAAATGTAAGGAGTGTTGAGAAGATTGTGCTCCAATTTATTGCATGAGGGAGGCAAGGCGTTTGAGATTTTTCATAGAAAACTATTCCTAAAGTTGTCCTCTCTATAAATTTCCTGCGTATATGCTCATCACTGGTGAATCATTTTAACGAAATTATATACGGATGGGCCGAAGCTAGCGGTTGGGGGAGAGCTTTACTAATATACTTTGCCCCTTGAAGGCTTCAAGTGGGAATCATTTTGCTCCTTCTTCGTGCCTTTCTTCCCCGTCTTTTCCCGGCCTACTGAATACTTCAATATCTCTTCTAAAACTAGTTAGTAATTTGTATTCACTACATTCAATGTATCGTGTAAATATTTTTTTCCGCCCACATAGATCCGACTTCATGTGATATCACAGCGTAGTGAGAGTAAATGATTGTGTATAGCCAGCACATATCATGCATGTGGTGACACAAGACGCGTTTGTAGTTATAGACATTACTCCTTGTTATGTAGTTATATGTAGTTACGTCTTTATATGTAGTTATATGTAGTTATGTCTTTATATGTAGTTATAGACGCATTCTTGATTCATATCTTGTTCCTTTACTGAAACTTTAGACCCGCAGGAGTTCATGCTACGCGACCTACTTTACTCTACTTTCCACTACACAAAGAAACATATAGAGCAAGGTTGTAATGGGCATGGCATTTATTACTTACATCATGCATATAGCTAACAATAACTGTATCATTGTGTACGCACAGTTTCTATTCTTAGTAACGCCTCTCATTATACACGCAGCTACATATCTCATGTACCGTAAAGAGTATAACATTTCATACATATCAACGTAGTGCATTTCCGTTCTACTTGTATACCGATCGCGAATAATAAATATGTTCATCTGAATCAATCAACTTGCGCCGTCCTTCTAACTACAACTCGCCCCCACGCAGTTAGCAAGTGTTACGACACGTACAGGCCAGACTATGGTATGCGCCTTGATTTCTATCACCTTAGTCATGCGTGTCAGTGGTAGCAGCTGCATCCATAATATTTCTAATAATACATCATATCAAGAGCGTCTCTTTATAAGCCTTCTTTATACGCTCTTGATCATATATAGTACTCGTCAACCGCGAATCAGAAAATGTCTACACACACACACTAAACATTCGTTGTGCATTGGGGACAAACGGCACACCATGTCTTCAAACAGTCGACTCCGACGAGCCGTTGAGCCAATAGCAAAATGCAATTTAGACTAGCGGAAAGGACATGAAAACGCCTCGTTTCCTATAAAGGAAGGAAACTATTAGTTCTATCAAGGAAAACCATCGCCGCAAACATCGTTACTAGAAAGAGCCGATCGACTGTAGCCGTGAATCCATCCGTTCACGCCAGACGTGTCTGCTAAAACGTAGCGCAGACTTGCCACGTTTGGTTGCACGTCGCTGCAACCTGCAACCGCATGCGATCGGTCGCACGCTTCACCGCGTGTACGCATGCAAGCGATTTCGGAGCGATTGGGAGCGACGAGTTGCTGAAAATCAAATCAGTTTGATTTCTCGCAACTCGTTGCAAGCGACCAGAATCGCTACGAGTTGCAGTTGCACGTTCCCGCAGACAGCGATTTCACAGCAATTTCGACTGCGATTCTAGAATCGCAGCCGAGTTGCATGAAAAAGTCGCAAGTCTGCGCTAGGCTTAACCGACGACGCGCATCGTATGCGAGCACGATGAATAATCATCACGTAATGTTCAACCCTCGTCGCCCTACGCACACCACACACACAGGCGTGTACTGAATGAAGTGTATAATATCATATCTTAAACAGGCGTGAAATGAATGTAGCATCACGCCTCCGACTCCATCTGTCTCTACCTGACTCACTCCCTTCGTTGTACTCACTCGCGCACACTCACGCATGCACGCACACACGCACGTACGTACGCACGCACGCACGTACGCACGCATGCGCTCGCTTCTTAGCTCTCTCTCTCTCTTAGAGAGTAAAACAGGGGACAGGCTGTACTGGCAAACATTTCGGCTACACTAACTAGATTTTTGACCGCCTTAGAGACCGCCCCTCTTCCACCGAGCAGTATCACAACTTTGAAATTCGAAATCGTGACAATCAATAACGGGACGGACGGGGGGGGTACGCAAGATGCGTCACGCGCACGACAGCCGAAAGATGCAGCAGACAGCGCAGGACATGTACAGCTCTGTATGTACCACGCACAGCACAGCTTCAGCTTCCCTCTCTCTCTCTCTCTCTCTCTCTCTCTCTCCTCTCTCTCTCTCTCTCTCTCTCTCGCGCGCTCTCTCTCGCTCTCTCTCTCTCTCTCGCTCTCTCTCTCCCTACTCAAGCCAGATATCAACTGCTTGCACATAGGATATATCCTATTATCTACTCTTGATATATATACAGCGAGTCTGGATGATTAGTCAGTCGGTCAGTCGGCCTTCTACAAACGAAGCCCCAGAGAGGATATACTTCCATCGCCCAATTATATTGATCAGGAAATACACAAGTCGATTCCCCGCAACTGGCCGGCGTTGCTGCTGGCTGTATGGAACTCCCATTCATTACATCCAAATCGTGTCAACAAAACAGCATTCTATTAGCCACTCTACATATATTTGTTCTATATATATGTATGTATATATATATATATACACACACACATATATACATACACATATATTTATATATTCTATATGCCAAGACAACGACCGATGACTCATCAACAACTGCCGCAGCCCTGTATATGTACATCTTCTCGACAGACTGCATCGTCGGCTTACGTACGTTAGCACGCTGTACGTCTGCGACTATACCAACGGATAACACACAAACAAATCCTCGCTAATTACAGCGCGCCATGCTAATTAATGCAGAACCTCAGCTGCCACTACAGTCATATCTATCCCCTTCTTTAGTGCGTCCCCCTATCTCCGTTCTCGTTATATATATATATATATATAGATATTGTTTCCCGTGCATATACATCACGCTAACGCCTCATTTGTCCCATTAATTGACACGACTGTGTATTTTATCTTACACAAATAATGAACCACAATTAAAATTAAACAACTGGCAATAAAAATTTACGTCACAAACTGAACAAATGAGCATGTTAAACTTGCTATCACAATAAACACACCTGGAAGACAGTACTGCACCAACTCAGTCTCATTTTTCAGCTCGTACTCTGCCTCGTTTGCCGATGATATAACTCATACCAGCGCACGAAATAACACCAAAAACACATCAACCGAAACGGGTTTACATGTTCTTCATAGCTTCCTAATTACGCTCTATCTGTTGTCGTTCAGTCCCTTTCCACGTTTATGATAAGGCCAAAACAAAATATATGTGTGGTTACCGTTAAATGCCGAAAAAATAGGGTAGGTAGGTAGGGAAAACATTTTATTTTCTTGAAATATTTTATTTACGAACCATGTCCGAAGGATGTGCGTTGTGCCTTTTGAAGCAGGAACTGTCCAATTCATATTATTATTTTTTTGACTTTAAAGAAAATTGACAATAAAATGTTTAGGGTCGGTCGGGAAACCGTAACCACACCTATATTTTGTTTTGGCCTAACCATTGTAATGTCCAATGGAACAAAGTGAAACCAAAGACCTGCACAAGTAGTAGTGGTAAAGTACTACCACCAAAAGATTTGTGGTTAAATACCCCGTTATCACGACGTTGAAGCAGTGCGTCTCAACCCTGCACGAATCACAGATTGCACTTACACACGTGCATTTCTCATATAGCTTATATATTCAGTATGAAGCAATTACATTTGCCAGGTGCAGCAGCAAAGTAAAACACCAAAACGATAGGAATGATAAAACACCATTGTTAACCTCCGTTGCTGCTAGAAAACTGCATAACATCAAACACACTATTCGCGTGGCAATGCTTCGCAACGTAGAATAACACATTTAAATTGATTACAACATTCTGCTTGGAGAATAAAGCAAAATGTTACTCATCCCAGAACCCCGCAATAGTCATGATATTATGGCCCATACACTGTGTAATCGTCATACGTTCAATATTACGTGGCTTGTGTAATTACATGAATTGACTGTGATATATTGCACGTTACTGCAAAAATTACACTAATTAGACTATAGCTGCATATGTCTAACGCAAATGTGAGAAAAATTTGCATAATGGTATGACGAAGACACGTGTTAGTTTTTTATTTTATTTCTAGGAGCTCAATATAGTGTTTGATTCATTCTGCTCATAACATAACAATATGGGACCGCATGTTACTGGCACCCTAACCGATTCCTAACAGATTCCTATGTCTCTCGCGAATTTTCGCGAATCTATACAAACAGAATTACTGGGCATTCTAACGCAACTCGAAAAGCGAGTGAACGATACAATGGAACCGGGCCCTGCACGCCGACTCCGTCGCAACGCAAAGTACATCCGACGATCTAAATCTTCGCGGCGTGCAAATCAATATTGCTTTAGTCGATCTCCCAGAACAAAATTAGGGCTGCGCTCGGTTCCGCTCGAGGAGACTCAGTCCCCGAGACGAAGCATGCACGCCGAGGGGAGACTCAGTCCCCGAGACGAAGCGTGTACGCCGGGGGGAGACTCAGTCCCCGAGACAAAGCGTGTACGCCGGGGGGAGTGTCAGTCCCTGAGACGCAGCGTGCACGCCGGGGGGAGACTCAGTCCCCGAGACGGAGCGTGCACGCCGGGGAGAGACTCAGTCCCGAGACGAAGCGTGCATGCCGGGGGAGGGTCAGTCCCCGAGACGGAGCGTGCACGCTGGGGGGGGGGGGGGGGGGCTTGGAGAGAGACTCAGTCCCCGAGACGAAGCGTGCACGCAGAGGAGACTCAGTCCCCGAAACGCAGCCGCAGTCACCGAGACGGGGGAGGGAAAGGAAGGAGGAGGGAGGTTTTCAGAACAGCGGCTTGCATCCAGCCTCCTCGAACTCGCTCCACGCGTCGTTGAGCTCGACGAAGATCATGCGCGCGAGCGTCTCCTGTGGCGTGCCGCCGAGCTTGTCCGGATGCACACAGAGCACGGCGCGCCGGTAGCACTTCTTCACCTGTTCGGGCGCGACGAGCTCGTGCATGCCGACGTCGCGCCACCGCGTCTCGCCGTCCCACAGCACCGTGCGCAGCGAGCAGAGCACGTGCGGATGTTGCCTCGCTTGCCGCTCGTCCACTGCGCGCACGCGCAGCTCTGTCGGGGTCGCACGAGCGCTCGAGCTCGTCGCGCCGCATGTCGCGGATCGTGCGCGGCTCGTGTTGGCCGCGACGATGATGACGACGAGAAGCCCTGCGAGCCGAGCAGGTCGGCGAAGTCGTCGTCGCCGGCGCGCGGACGCACGCAAGCGTCCGCGGCGCCGCCGCCGCCGCCGCCGTACTCGTCCTTCGTCGTGAACACGCTCGAGCTGATGTTGTAGTTGGGCCTCTGCTGCTGCTGCTGCTGCTGCTGCTGCTGCTGCTGCTGCTGCTGCTGCTGCTGCTGCTGCTGCTGCTGATTCTGGCGGACGGGGGACGACTGCTGGGCAGCGAGTCCCGGCGACGTGCCGCCGACCTGGAATCGAACGCCCTGTGCGCCGCCGCCGCTAGGGGGCGTCTGCTTCGCTTTGTTCCACGAGACGGGGCTGTTCGTCTCCGAGCGACACGTGAAGTTGTTGAAGCTCGAGCTCTTATTGAACGAGCCGAGGTCGTGGAACGGGTCGAGAAGCTGGGCGCCGGACGCCCCCGCCCCCGCCGCTGCGGCTGCCGTCTCGATCGTCGGAGAGTTGAGCGGGCCGGGACTCGACGCGTTGCGCGGGATGCTGCGCGTCGCGTTCACGTGCAGGTTCGATGCCGTCCACGAATCCATGAGGTTCGGCTCGGTCACCGCGGCGACGCCGCCGCCGCCGCCGCCCGAGAATGGGTCGAAGGTCGCGAACGACGTCGGCGCCCCCTTCGCGGTGGCGGCAGCGGCGCTCTCTTTCGGCACGGGTGTGGTCCCGCGGAACGGATCAAAGGCGTCGCTCTGGTTGGCAGAAAACTCGCCGAACGGGGTTCCGTCGTGCGACGACGACGGCGGCGTTGGCGCCCTCCCCTGGAATGCGTCAAAGCCGTTGCCGGCGGCAACGCCGCCGCTCGAGCGAATTCGCTCTGCACCGTTGAGAAGGTCGAAGTTGGACGGCTCCGGGCCGGTGTCCATGTTCAGCAGGTCGACGTTGCCCGCGAGCGCATCGACTTTCCGCGAGGCGCCGTTCTCCCGGCTTAGACGGGAGGAGCTGAGCTGATCGAAGCTGGCGTCGAAACTCTGTCCGAGCAGGTTCATGCACGTGGCCGGCTGCTGCTGCTGCTGTTGTTGTTGGTACTGCTGTTGCTGCTGCTGCTGTTGTTGTTGTTGCTGCTGCTGCTGTTGTTGTTGCTGCTGCTGTTGTTGTTGTTGCTGCTGCTGCTGCTGTCGAGCCGTCGTCGCGTCGGGAGGTGCCTGGGCCGGCGCCACGTCGAAGCTCGTTCCGAGAAGGTTGCCCGTGTCAGCCTCGCCGTCCGCCCGTTCGTTCTCTGGCCCTTCGCCATCCTTCCACTCCAACTGCGTGAAGAACGCACTCTGCGGCTGCTTGCCCAGCGCCTTCGCCCCGATCGGCGGCGGCCGCGGCGGCGCCTTCCGCGCCGGCGACTCGTGCGAGTCGCCCGATGACTGACTAGACTGCTGGTAGAGCCGGCGCCTCGCCAGCGATCCCGTTCCGAACTTCATCACCGTCTGCTCCCACTCCTCCTTGCTCGCGAAGCAGTACTTGGGACTGAGGTTCTTCGTCGCAAAGTTCTCCCACGGCGCCGCGTCGAACCCGGGCCGATCCTTATCGCCGACGACCACGCCCAGGGTGACCTTGAAGCCGTCCGGGTATTTGTCCGGCGCGTCGGCGAGGTCGAGTTCGGACGCGCGGAACTCGAGCGATTTTGTGTCGAGCGCGAGGAAACCAGTGTGGAACTGCAGACGGAACATCTCGAGCGCAGAGACCCTGCCCTGCACGCGATCGCCGAACGTCGAGCGCGCGTGGCAGACGACGACGGTGACGTCCCCCACCGCCGCCGCCATCGCGTCGAGCGGCAGGACCGCGCACGCGTCCGCCGCCGCGTCAAAGCCTCGCATCGCCTCGTAGTCGCGCGACGTCGTCAGCGCACGCTCCCCGCCGACGTACACCTCGACGAACGGCCGGCAGCCGGCGCGCGCTCGGTTGAACGCCGGCACGGGCGTCATCGTCACGTCGACGACGGCGACGGGCCGCACGTGCGGCGCAAGCGGCCGCTCGGCCGACACGAGGTCGGCGATGTACTGCATGTAACGCTGCTGCGACGGCGAGGCGTCCGGCTCGCCGCGCCGCAACGCGAACGCGCTCAGCGACTCCTCGCTCGTGCGGAACACGCGGCAGAAGAGCAGGAACGCGCACGCGACCATCGCTGACGCGTTGCGGCCGTCCGTGCAGTGCACGACGGCGACGTTCGCCGGGTCCTGCCGCAGCCACAGCAGCATGTTCTTGCAGATCGCGAACAGGCTGCCGAGCGTCGGCGCGCGGCCCGGCGCGAAGCCGCACTCCGACACGCGGTTGTTGAACTTGGCCGAGCGGTAGGTGCGCCGCGACAGGTTGTACACTGCATAGTGGTTGGGATGCTTCGACTCGAGGTAGTTGCGCACGTCGTCGATGTTGTTTTTGTAGGCCGACTCAATGCCCTCGGCGGGGAACGACATGACGACGATGTGCGACGTCAAGTAACTCAGATCCAGCTGGTCCGTCTTGTTGACTGCGGCGGTGACGTTCTGCATGACCTTGCTAGATGTGTCCTTGATGCTCTTGAAGAGGCCGCCGGCGCCCATCTTCAACGAGCCCAAGATGGCGCCGACGTCGGCCTGATCCTGTGGTGGCGGAGGTCGGGGGGGTCGCTGCTGGTTTCTCTCTTCGTTCGCGGGACGTGGGGAAGGCTGGCCGGGTACCGTCAGTGGTCCTAGCACGTTCACGTCCAATGCCGAAGCCATTTCCTCTAGCTTTTCGATCACCTGAATCACAAAAATTACACATTTCATTACAGAAAGATTACACATTTAGATAGCGGCAGGCATAGCCGTTTATGCTTTACGACGAACTCTTATTATCATAGACGCAGCTAATTTTCTAATTAATGTGCACACCATATAGAAAATTATATATAAATAGAAGACTTAATTTACTACATTTGTAGAATAACGAGTGAAGAGGTAGAATAGCGAATCGAAATAACATTTTCACGTAGAATGCCAGATACCTGGTTAATGTTCAACCGCTGGCGCGGATCCACCTTCAACATCCCTCGTATCAAATCGTGGAATTGCGTGAAGACGCCGTCGGCGTTCGGTATGCTGTAGTTGCCGTTGACAATCCGCAACTTCGCCGAGTCCTCAAACGGGTGCTCCTTGAAGCAGAGCAGGAACAGCACGCAGCCCATCGCCCACATGTCCATCGCCTCGTTCAACGGGTAGTTGTTGTACGTCTCGAGGATCTCCGGTGCCCGATACATCGGTGTCGTGTTCTTCATCATCTCGTCCTCGACGACGCTGCGCCGCACCGCGTTCCACGTCTCGTCCGGACAATGCGACCGCGTCGTCGCGCTGCCGAAGTCGCACAGCTTCACCGTGTTCTTGGTGCTGAGGAGAAAGTTCTCGACCTTCAGGTCGCGGTGGACGATCGGCGGCGACTGCGCGTGCATGTGCTGCACAGCGACGCACATCTGGTAGTAGATGTGCAGCACTTCCTTCACGGTCAGCGACTCCTTTCTGCTGTTGAGCAGGTCGACTAGCATCCCGCCGGTGCAGAGTTCCGTCAGGAGAAGGAACTCTGCCTTGCCGTTGTCCGACTCGTTCTTGCCTATGGAGGCAGCCTGTATGTACTGCACTATGTGTGGGTGCTGGCTGAGCTTTTTCAGGAACGTGATTTCCTGTATTATCAGCTTGCTGGCTTCGTCGTCTGCCGCTATAAGCCGCTTCAGCGCGTACTCGTTGCCCGTTGCCAAGTCCTGGGCGACAAAGACAAAGGCAAATCCTCCCTCAGCTATGACCCGACGAACTTTCAATCGCATGTCGCCGAGCTCCACATTCTGCCCCACGAAATCATTGTCAATGCCGCCGACAGATCCACCGAGGATGCCCCCCAGCGCCGATTTGAAGAAGTCACCCATTATTGATAGGGATTTTTTAACTCTCAGACCTCGTATAACGTATACACACGCGTGGCTTCCGCATGACCTTTCACCAGTGTGATTGAACTGTTATCTGGTCGAGACGCCTAAAAAATTTAGAACGTAAAAAACATCAGATTTTAGTCAAATATATAATACGTGGGAAATAACAAAGTAATATTACTTCCATTCACATTAAAAGCCACTGCGACTGCAAATGCCACTGCGTAACAATATAGTTTTTACGTAATTTGAAACTTATACTTTATCAGACTTCAGCCGAGTACAGAATTTCTACATTTCGGAATTTCCAACCTATGGCTATACTCACGCAGCTTCCCAGATCAAGTTCAATCAAAGGAAATGCTATTTAATACGCTGCACGTGCTAACATTTACCTCCTAAATTCAACATGATTAAATACTACATACCGCTGCTCTCCAAATTTATCAGTTGATGATATTTCACGAGAAAATCAGAAAAAAATCGATCAAAATCCATTTCGACGAAGGCGTACTTCGCCGTAGCAAGTATCCGCAATGTGTGACGTCATTGGCGTAGTGAGTGCCCTCTACGACGATCCATGCGATACCAATCCGCAGTAATCCGTTCCCGGAAGTTTCTTACTTTAGACAAACTGAAGAAACGGATTAGAGCAAAATAGCATTTAGACCAAAATTGTAAATTAACAGCTTACAGACAACGTGGTTCAATAATTTAATCGAATCATTTTAATATTTAGTAACGCAAATAGTACGCAACAACAAAGTAGGTCCAGTGGGTGTTGATCAGCTCCGTTGCAAATTCGTCGTGTACTTTCCCTGGGAAACATGTCATCCCAAAAAGAAGTTTATCGACAAAAACAGTTACAGGAAAAATTCCAAGCTATACTTAATGGACTGCTAAGGGACGAAGATAACAAGTACTGCGTTGACTGTGATGCAAAGGGTAAGATACAAAATCAATCTTGTTCCAAAGTCCCATGTCTTGGAGTACCTGCCTACCTCACTTCAACACTTGGTCAAATGGACTGTAGTCTGTAGTCTGTAGACGTTGTAAGCCGGCCTAATTGGCGTAAATCCACTTTAGGCACCTTCTAGGTATCACGCAGTGATGCACAGATTTCTGTGTATCATCAACTAATGCACAGACTTTCCGGTTCAAGGATAGAGAACATAGATCCCAATAAAACCAATGTCATTTACATCAATATAAATATAATATTATATCAATGGTTAGGGTTATGGTTAGGGTTAGGATTACTAGGGTTAGGGTTAGGGTTAGGCACATTGGTTTTATTGGGACCCATGTTCTCTATCCTTGGGCCGACTTTCCGTATATCAAGGAATGATGCAAAAACCCTAACCCTAACCCTAACACACTTCGTGATGGCTAAGCCTAAGGTTTAGCTCTAGTACTATAGCCCGCGTACATTGACTGCCGCAGGGCTATAGCACATTGTCAGCTGGAAATAGCATCAACACCGGTTCCCAAAGTTCCCACGAAAAATCGCTTTACAAAACGCAAAATAATCGGGATTTTTAACACTTATCTATCTACGTGGACATCTCACCTATCTTTTTGAACACTTTACACAACTTTCCACCATGTATTTATCCTTTTATTTGGCGTGACGTCACTGGATATGTACGCAAAACACATGGCAGCTATGGGGCATGTATATACAATACCGGTGACGTCACGCGTGCGCTCGCCACATCGTTTGAAAATGAATTGCCAGTAGTGCTTACTTTGTGGAATAAAAGGATAAATACATGGTGTAAAGTTGTGTAAAGTGTTCAAAAAGATAGGTGAGATGTGAACGTAGATAGATAAGTGTTAAAAAGCCCGATCATTTTGCGTTTTGTAAAGCGATTTTTTGTGGGAACTTTGGGAACCGGTGTTGATGCTATTTCCAGCTGACAATGTGCTATAGCTCTGCGGCAGTCAATGTACGCGGGCTATAGTACTAGAGCTAGCTAAGGTTATACTTTATGACAAGTTTACTGTCACTTACTCTTAGGGTTAGGGCTAGGGTTTTTGCATCATTCCTTGATATACGGAAAGTCTGTGCATCAGTTGATGATACACAAAAATCTGTGCATCACTTCGTAATACCTAAGGTGCCTAAAGTGGATTTGCGCCGTTAAATTCGGCTGACACATCATCAGTATGACATCATCATAAATCATGGTTCACATGCGTCACCGGTAACTAATGCTGAAGGGGTAGTTGTCGTATCAGGTACTACATATATGTACCCGAGGTACATATATGTATACACAAAGTGTACTAGACTTGTACTACAGAAGTGTATCCTAACCCTAACCCTAACCCTAAACATACCTCATATAAAAATATAAACATAATACTAAACAACCTAAAACTACCTCGGGTACATGTATATATGTAGTAGCTGATACGACAACGACCCTTCGTGCGTACCTAATATACATTGTAATAATAATTTTTCAAACGTATTATGATTTCACACAACTATAAGTATATAAGCCACTGAGTGATGGGACAGTGCACGCCTCAATTTAAACATTGTCATTGATAGCAAATAGACATTGGATTAATAATAAATAAACTTGGTTAGATGGATAGATATCATGCAGTAATGCACAAGACAGTGACCATCGTCATTGATAATCACTATTGATGGTTAATCCAAGGCTCGACACTAACTTTTTTTTCAGTGGCCAGATCGGGCCACCAGAAATCATTGATTTTCAATTTTTGGTGGCCGAAAATGGAAATCTGGTGGCCCGAAAAAAACACAAAGAAAACATTATAAATCTTATTTCAATCTCGTATTGTATATTATTTGAGAATTGGCCGTCTGATGCACTTGCCACAAGTCTTTAAACAAACCCCACACAATGGCACACACTGACATTGATGATTGAGGCATAACATTTGAATTATCCATTCCACGGCATCAATTTTCACCAGAATCTTGCATACTCATTTTTCTACTTTCACTCATTATTTATCTAAAACACCGCGCGTGCACATGCTATCGATCAGTTCAGACGTTCAAGAGAGATCAAGTCACAGAGCATGCAATATTAAAACAAGTAACTGTAATAACAACAACACACACATTGGCTTTTCATTGTTAAAGATAAAAATATTACATTTAATCTCATGAAAGTTAAACAGTGTCTCGGCACGGCTTTGGAAACTGTAAAATAAGAATATTGCAGATTAATAAGATAAAGTAGAACGCCATAATTTTATCAACAAAGTAGCCTGGGTACGCATGCATTTAAAGTAAAAATAGGAGCCTGTCTAAGTTCAATATTTCGTTGGCGTAAAGGAGACAGGAAAATGCATAAATAACTTACAATAGCACTAATATTACCCTTTCGGATTTTTGAAAAATACTGTATGCAACTTCAGGAAATAGTTCGCGTTATTCTACGCGCGACTTTCGAACGCTGGAAATTTTCGCTTCCTGGATCCGAAACAGTGAGCACCAGCTGCAGCTAGCTAGCAAATCAGGGACCAGGACGTACCGTATTTTAGCCCATGTGTCCCGCGTCCGTACCGACCCTTCCCGGGAACGCTGTGTCTCCGGTCCCGTATTTTCACATTTGTTGCAACAAACTACCATCAAAACGGGAAGAATATTTCATCATTTTTTTATTTATGACAATTGTTTGCTTCGAAACTCTTCATACGCTCGCGTTCATTTTCACACACGCCTCCACACTTCCACAGTACACTGCAGACAGGGCGTATTGTCTAGAAGCATTGTCTGTTCGCTTGATACAATGTAAATCACATGTATGCTGTGACGCTTTGCAAAATATTTGCTATGGCCTGCGCCCGCTCAGAATTTTGACTTGGCTAGAACTGGTTCGCGGCCCGAATGTTTCGTCGCAGAGCCGTGTACATTGTTGTTCTAAGCAGAGCGTGATGGCCGGATACCAGTCTAATACAATAACGTGGCTTGTTGCAGCCGCTAGTAGACGGACCGGTATGCCGCGGCGGTTTAGAATGCTGCACTGTGCTACCGTGTTCCCTCGCCTCCGCGCGCGAAATTGCTCGCATCTCTTTTGAATGAAGATGTAAGCACGTAATTAAACAATTATTTTTCTATCACATAGACACTTATGAATTTTATAGTGGCCGGCGATCGGCGCACCAAATCTTAACTTTTCGGAATTTGTGGTGGCCAGACATCAAGTTTTGGTGGCCCCGCCGGCCACCGGCGCCACAGCTAGTTCGATGCCTTGGTTAATCGTTACATCTACGTTTGCATGCTCTTTCAGTATTCATGCACCCCAAAATTGTTTCCGAGTCACTTTATGATATTGCTCCAGTGTCCATATGTAATGCCTAGGGGGTGGGTGGTGAGGACAGCGAGTCGTCCAAGATAAAATTCTAACAAAAGATTATACTTAAATCATCCACCTTCTACTGAATACTTTGAAGTGTTACTGGACTGCTACAAGGTTTTCCGCCACACACAGTGCCTAATGTGGTAGAGCTACTGGCTTTTACAGCATTGCACCCCCCAACTAAGAAACCCTGGGCCACTGGCCCTTTCATTGTGGTGATATGCTCGGTCTGTAGGTAGAGCTCTTTAAAATGGATGTTCTGGGTCTGCTGCTGGGTGTGTCTTTGTACCCTGTTAGTGTTATCTGCTGTGGTACGGAGTCGATTTAGACCAGAAGAACAGAAGAGAGATAGAGAACTTAATAGATATAACATCAGAGATTAATAAAGGACAAATTGTCTTTATTAACACTCCTGATGACATTGATGATTAAATGCAAGAGATCTCATGTTTCACAGCTTGAGCAATGCCTGATTTACTGACCCAAACGGGCCATTACAAATGATTATAGCTCTGGCAGTATATAATTGGAAGCTATGATATTTATTATTTCACAGCGTCCACGATGGGCTTCATGGATAGTAGGCATATTCCTTTGGTAGAAGGTGTGCTGTAACATCGAATTTTAGGAACTCATATATCTAAGTAAAGTCTGTGAATTTTGTGACACAATGGAGTCCCGACCAGTTTTGAGGTATTGCCTTTTTACATATTTTTCTATAACACAGGCTTTTAACTTTAAAGTAATATTAAAATCTTTTCATAAAAATATATTGCCTATCAGCACAATGATATTATGCCGTAATATAATGTCATGTTGTGATTTTGACACGACACAGGCTGTTCTTCACGAGATTGCAGCATTAAACTGTTTTATTTTTAGCCTGCAAAAATGGCTAAACATCGTTCTTTTAATTATATGGCGAAAGTATTAAAAACTGATCAGATAACGAGCCAACAAATAGCAACGTGATTCCACTAGGCTTGGTTTTGTGTTGTTTCACGTCGATGACAGAGATTGGGGAAAACAGTCGTGCGCGGTGCAAGTGTATGAGCGACCTTCCATGGATGGCTTCAGAAGACCCAGACAGGATCGTTATCGTTATACTTCCATACTTTATTGAGAGCAGAATGTTTTTACATTATAGTGGCAGGGACTACGCATGAATATTTTTAGGATTAATCACTATATTGAATATAAATCACTTTGAAATATTTTATATAGATACAGGGTTCTCCAAGCTTTTTCATTATAGCATGGCGTGTGTCCTGCCATTTTTACGCGTCCTAGTTGCAAATCGCGGAGGCGGTTTGGTGGTGCTAGGGGTGGTCGGGGCTAGGATATTTAGCATGGCGGCTATGATACTTAGAGTGGCGGTGCTGTTTGCTGGATGGCGGGGCTTGCGACTAGCTGGCGTTCCGCAGGCCAATAAGTGCTCTTGGATGAACCTGTTGATGTAATAAACAGGGTTAAAGAGCTTGTGAATGGTGTAGAAGTGGATTTATAGATGGTGGGAAATTAAATAGATGGTGCAGATTCAGTTAGGGTTTCCTGAATGCGGTGAATAGTGTCTTTAGAGGCTTTTACTACGCAGAAGTCACGAAACAGAAAGCGGTACATAGCAAAGGAATGGGTGTGCCACAGCAAAGACCCACAGGGAAAGGTATGTCATATACCAGTACGAGTCATGTCTTGTAGCTCTTTTGTTTTCTATCCTAGCTCTATCCTAGTTTTCATTGCGCAGGCATGTAAGACACTAATGAAAGTCAGCCACATGGTCTAAAGTTTTACAGTTTTTATGCCTGGAAGTGTGATGTACATAACTGGTTTGTTTTTTAAACCTTGTCATTTGCATTTTCTTTCTCAAAATGTTATAATTCAAATGAGCTTAGATAAGAAGTAATTGTCCCAGTTACGAAATATAAGGAACCAGAGTATGATTCAACATTAGAATGTTTGCATTTTACGAAACGTCATATCAATATGGTTGTGGTGTTAACACTAAACCGGGATGCTGGTATGCGCTTTACTTCGCTAGGGCGCATACTTCTTAGCTATGTCGAGACTGCTGACAAGAAAAAACCTCCAGATCACGTTCCAACCCCGAAGTTGTACCGACACGATACCTGGTAAAGTCAACAAATGTCGTAGCCTCCTGCAATTCCTTCTCAGAGATACACGGGCATGGAAATTAGCAAAATTGTGAACAGGCCCACCCAAAATTTTAAACTGCCTTTACGTAAGATTGAACAGGCCTTAATTGTTCAATGTATTCCATTATTAATCACAAGTATTAGCTTTTGTGTTTATTAGGACTACTCGCTAGATATTTCAGTATTTCGATTGCCTATCGTGAGTTCTACCGTTTGACCCCTTACATGGACAAAACTCCTCATCCCAGAGCAGGCAGGTTTCCAGACCAGCGAAAATCCTGTACAGCCAACTCACTTACCTTACCCGGTACATCGAAGACGGGTATAT